GCCGAGTCTTCACCATCCCCCCAGACCTACCCCTTACTGAGGACGAACGGTCAGTCCTCAGTAAAGGGCTCACCTTTGTCCCCCTCCACCCACAGATCAACGAATACCGCTCACGCTTGGACATAGAGCAGTTTTTCCGCCGCCTCCGCACCTTTCCTGGCCTCATCCCCGCCTCTTCGACCTGTTTGTTTCCTCTCCACCTATCCTCTCCTCTATCCCTCTTCTATCCGCCTCCCACTCTCTCCCTATTTATTTCAAAACCCCCTTCCCCTCCCCCTTTTCTGATGAAGGGTCTAGGCCCGAAACGTCAGCCTCTCTGCTCCTATGATGCTGCTTGGCCTGCTGTGTTCATCCAGCCCTGCACCTTGTTGTCTCGAATAACTTATTTTGTTGTCTAGTAGACTCCAGATAATGAGGGAAATGATTATTCTCCAAGACGCACTACCGTTGTGTTAGGTGATGTTGAATGAACTTGGCACATTGTTACAGTACATTCTACAGATTGTACATGCTGCAATCATAGTTTACTTGTGTTGGAGGGACTGGATGTTTAAACTAATGGTTAGGAAGCTGATTAAGCAAACTGCTTTGTCCTGAAATGTGTTGATTTTCTTGAGTGTTAGCGCAATTGCCATCACACTTTTGACTTGAGCCTTGTAGATAGTAGCAAGGCTCTGGGGATTTACGAATCTAGGGACGGAGACAGTCTCTGATGATTCCTACTGCTAATTATTGACTTTGGCTAGTGTAAGATTTTGGAATTTAATTCAACTTTAATTGAAGGTTTATGACAATTATAATTCAAGACCAACTTTGAGAAAATCAATCTAAACATTTACTAATCTACTCGTCCCATTGCAGGTACAAATATGGTTTCACAGGTTTTACAGAATTTATGAAGTTTATCATAGCAATCACAAAGAAATAATTCTGAATAAAAGCAATGATTTGCATTCAAGGCACTTCGGGATGCAATTGTGACGCCAAATGTGGTTGCCTGATTAACAATTTAGATCACATGAAATACAGGGAGAACTAGCCATTAAGATATAGAACTGGCTCGAAGGTAGAAGACAGAGGGTGGTGGTGGAGGCTTGCTTTTCAGACTGGAGGACTGTGACCAATAGTGTGCCATAAGGATCGGTGCTGCGTCCACTGCTTTTCATCATTTATATAAATGATTTGGATGTGAACAGAGGAGGTATGATTAGTAAATTTGTAGATGACACCAAAATTGGAGGTGTAGTGGACGGCAAAGAGTACAATGCGATCTTGATCAGATGGGCCAATGGGCTGAGGAGTGGCAGATGGAGTTTAATTTAGATAAAAGTGAGGTGTTGCATTTGGAAAGGCAAATCACGGTAGGTGTTATACACTGAATGGTAAGGTCCTGGGGAGTGTTGCTGAACAAAGAGACCTTGGAGTGCAAGTTAATAGTTCCTTGAAAATGAAGTTGCAGATAGATAGGATAGTGAAGAAGGCGTTTGGTATGCTTGCCTTTATGGTCAGTGCATTGAGTATAGGAGTTGGGAGATCATGTTACGGCTGTACAGGACATTGGTTAGGCGGCTTTTGGAATACTGCGTGCAATTCCAGTCTCTCTGCTACATGAAGGATGTTGTGAAACTTGAAAGGGTTCAGAAAAGATTTACAAGGATGTTGCCAGGGTTGGAGTGTTTGAGCAATATGGAGAGGCTGAATAGACTGGGGCTTTCCCTGGAGCATCGGACGCTGAGAGGTGATCTTATAGAGGTTTATAAAATCATAAGGGGCATGGATAAGGTAAATAGACAAGGTCTTTTCCCTGGGGTGGAGAATAGAGGGCATAGAGGGGAAAGATTTAAAAGGGACCGAAGGGATAACTTTTTTACACAGAATGGTCGTGCATGTATGGAATTAGCTGCCAAAGGAAGTGGTGGAGGCTGGTACAATTACAGCATTTAAAAGGCATCTAGATCGGTATGTGAATAGGAAGGGTTTGGGGCTATATGGACCAAATGCTGGCAAATGGGACTAGATTAATTTAGAATATCTGGTTAGCATGTATGTGTTGGACCGAAGTGTCTGTTTCCATGCTGTACATCTGTATGACCGAACCACAGTTTTTTGCTTTGTTGACTGAAGTTTTTCTGCCTACAGTCTTCCTTGTTCCAAATCTCTAAGAATCACTGCTCAATAATCCTTGCTAGCCACTATGTTACATGAACAATCATGGTCATTCTTCTGAAGAAGGGTCCAGACCCAAAACGTCAGCTTTCCTGCTCCTCTGATGCTGCCTGGCCTGCTATGTTCATCCAGCCCTACACCTTGTTATCTCAGACTCCAGCAGTTCCTACTATCTCTGATGGTCATTCTTGGATTGGCTAAGTAGTGTTTGCCCAGTTCCTGAGTTTTTAAAAAGTCATGGTCATCTGAGTAGCATCAAATCTCACTGTCTCCTGATTAATTCTTTGACATAGCAATCACATTGAAACACTGTCCTTTTATGACAGGTAGTCCCTTTTAGCTTACCAACATTATAGATCTTAACTAAGATAACATGGCACCAATGAGACCATTTATGTGTTTGCCTATTAAGTAGCATCAGCTCTGAGTGACTTAATATCATCCCAGATGATATTTGACTGATACATCTAAAAATGTCAAAGCATGTCAAAATGTTGTGGCAGTAGATAATTTAGTGAGGGAGACTATCACTATTCTTTGCAGCCAAGAGCATAAGTCCAGAAGGCTATGTTGCTGACTTAGTGCCACAGTACAGGATATTTTCAGGGCCAAACAGGATTTTGGAGTAGAAGGATGAGGAGCCATTTGTTATGGTCCACATAGATACCAGTGACATAAGCTGAAGCTTCTACTTAACTGCATGAGGAGCTATGCATTTTCTGTCTTCTCGCAATGCTTTTCATGTAGTGATAGCTCTGCTTGCACTGCTGGTAGAAGAAATAATTCCAGGGAGAGGCAGAAAGCTGGGGATTGCCCTGCTGTCGTAGCCACCTTGATGGCCTCTGGCAATGCATGCCCACCTGGACTACAAAGAAGGAGGACTTGTTCCAGGAGATTGCACATGTCAGCAATGACTTGCTGTAAAAGCCAATGCATCTTGCCTCAAGAGCTCTGTGTTCAACCCTTTGTACTGTGGAGGAGCATATGGTTCAGAAACAGCAACTGGTCCTGCCACTGACAAACTAATTGAACTGTATGGAGATGAAGACCTTGCCAGATAGTGTTTGAAAAATAAGCAGTATGCCAACTGTAGTAGTATTTATTCAAGATAGAAATTATATTAAAACGGAATGGATTAGAGGGTACAGGTGAGAGAGAGAGATCACCAGTCAGATGACAAGTTTTATCTTGCATCCTGTGAGACACATAGTAGAACAAGCTCACTAGAATAGGAACAATATTTAAGATATATGAAGGACTAAAAAAATCTACATTGTACAACCTTTAATAATGATGTATCAGAGCAAATTTATTTTGTACTGTTTTTCAGATATTTGAATGACTGGACGGAAATTGCTTGTAGCAGTTCTTCTGCAAAACTTCCAGGTTCATCAATATTCATTTCAAATCTGCTTGTATATGCCGCAATTGCAATGATTCTCCAGATAATAATTTTACATAAATATATCAAACATGGAAATAGTGCACCAATTGAAATTTGTAAATGAGATCATTATGAATTAAGTGAAAAGAGGATGTTCCTTGCAACTGGAGACATCCAATGGCATTTTCTTGTACTTCTTCTCGAATTATCTGAACATATAGAGACTGTGGGTGGAATCTTAAAGGGGCCTGAATGATGTGGCTGTAGTGAGAAATGTGACAGATTAGCATGAAAAGTCCAGCAAGGTCTACCTTGACATTAGGAGCAACTTGTATCTTTTAACTAAGTTCTAGGCTGTCAGGTTCTGAGGCAAAATTCTCACTAGGTAGCAGCGAGTTACCTCTTAAGAGGGATTATTTAATGACCTTATTAATTGCAGATCTTGCCTCATTAATATGTAACTTTCTATTGTCCCACCCATATCAAACAAACTGAACGCTGAGAATCCTCAATGTGGACGTCAGAGTGGGTAACTGGTGAATTTAACTCACCACTTGCTGCAAAAGTAAAAGTCACCATTGTCTCACCAGATCATAGGGTGCACTGTCATTAGAGAGAGATTACTGGTGGTGGTTTAACATGAGAGTTACCATGCCTCAGGCAAGGGAAAGGTTAAGAAGGAGAGTCCTTCATGGTTTTGCCCCAAAGGACACCGGGCACCAACATCTCAAGGCACTGGCCAAGCATAACTTGCAGTCACACACATTGACATCTGACACATGCCAGCCTCCAAATACCCTCATGGCACTTCTCCAATCCACTTAAGCTTCTGCACTTTAATGCTGCACCTCAAAACACAGCAGTAGCTCTCATTGTATGCTGCAGCAAGGGCACTTTGTGCTCAGGGATAATCACCCAGCTCATGGTCTGGAGCAGGCTGCATCTCTGGCTCATTCACATGCTCTCTTAGCACTCACTTACTTTGACCCTATCTGTATGCTCACAGCATGCTTGTCGTGCCTTGCATCGCCATTTTTTGTGTTCCCCCTCTGCCAAGGATACCAGGTTCACAGTAATGGTGTCATGCTGTGCCGTTCAACATAGACACAAAGCTGGGAAGCTTGTTATGGTTGTCATCTGGCCTCCGCCATGTCAGGGGAGATGGCCTTAAGTCCGGGGGTACGGGGTTGTGGGGGGGGGGAGTTGGTGGTGATGTTCCTGACATCCGGTACCTGTCCAAGCTCTTGGTAATGATCTGTCAGCCACTAGGGCAGTCAGAATCAGTTTCCTCTCCTAATTAACTTGGACAGCACACCATCTCTTTCAGCCATATTGTGGGCTGGTTTCCTCCTGGATTGAGAGAAAGGCAGGAATCAAGGGAGATGAAAGTGCATGACTATTACTTTTAGTGCAGATGGGGAGGTATCCTGAGCAAGCGACTTTGCAGCACAAGGGTAGTGGTGTTGGGTTTGGGGTGGATGAAAGTGAGTGGGGAAAATGTTGCAGGCAGTACTGTGAAAGTTAGAGCTTGAGCCTTGGTTGGTGTACGAGAGATAGAGTGAGTATGCTAGAGTCAGCTAGAGGTGGTGGCACTTGGAGTGGTGGAGTGGAAAGGGTCATTGATCTTCTTCCTGCATTGCTGTGTGTTCCTCCACATGGCTGAGACTATACTCCAGATTTCTGCAGATGGCAAGTTGGCCCAAGCTGGTGTAGTCTGGTGCCATTATCTTAACTGCCCTGGGATAAGATGTCAACTTGCCTCTGCGCGACCCCGTCCTCCAAGACCTCCAGGTCCCTGCCCACAAAGCAGGATGCCAATGTTCCCTTGTCTGCCATGTCTGCTGCAAAGGTCAGGAACAGTGTAGGGCAGCCCCATACTAACAGTGCTTCTCCGGGTCAACTGCCAGCATTAGATGCCAAACTATTCTAGGATATCCTGGCAATGGTGACTTTTTCTGGGTCATAGAGTCATATGGCAGGGAACAAACGATTCAGTCCAACTCGTTCATGCTGACCAAGTTTCCCAAATTAAACTGGTCACACATGCCTGTGTTTGGCTCATATCCCTCTAAACCTTTCCTATTCATGTACCTATCTAAATGTCTTTTAAATTAGTAACTGTACCTGCATCCACAACTTCCTTTGGCAGTTCATTCCACATACAAACCACCCTCTGTTGAAAAAGGTTGCCCCTCAGGTCCCTTTTAAATCTTTCTCCCTTCACATTAAAAATATGCCCCTAGTTTTGAACTCCCCCCACCCTCGGGAAAAGACACTTGCTATTCACCTTATCTATGCCCCTCATGATATTATAAACCTCTGTAAGGTCACCCCTCAACTTCCTATGCTCCAGTGAAAAAAGTCCCAGCTTATCCAACCTCTCCTTATAACTCAAACTTTCTAATCCCTGCAACATCCTGGTAACTTTTTTCTGAACCCTCTCTAACTTATGTGGAAAATGGTAGAATGGGGCTAGAATTGGTCAAGAGGGTGGTGTAGTTACCCTCTTGTAGTTAATGGGCAAGTTTAGTAAATCATGGCAAGAAAACTCATTAGGCCCTGTGGAAAGAAACCCTTCATGAAAGTTGACATTACTAATACAGCCACACAATTTTAAGATTCAGGGCTGAGTATTACAAAAGACCAATGAGTATGTTTTAGATCCAATGAGTGGGTTGCTCTGTGAGCTTATGACTGATAAAGCTGTGAGTCAATTTTTTTTATTTTCTCAGTCTGCTGTTAAGTTTTGTAAAGCAAATTATCAAAAATCGTTAGTCCCAGCCATTAGAACAAATGTGAAAAGGTCACTGGTTGGCATACAGGATTAGGAATTCTAACTGACATCAGCTGGACTACCACATATACTATCCTGGCTGAGAATAGTTAAGTCTACTCAGGGTAAAGGTTGAACCCAGGATGTTCCTTTTAAAAGAAACAAAAGAACCATAAATGCTGTAAATCAGAAACAAAAACAGAAATGTCGGAAAAGTTCAACAAGGTCTGAGGAAGTGTCACTCAACCCGAAACGTTAACTCTGACCTCTGTCCACAGATGCTGCCAGATCTGCTGAGCTTTTCCCACAATTTCTGTTTTTGGTCCAGAATGTTCCTTTTCTGCAATAGCACACCAGATGATGTTTTTAACCTACTAATCTAATTCTTTGTGCTTCTTGTATAAGCTGTTGCACATTATAGGCTATTGTGTTTACTTCTGGCCTTCTAAAAGTAATGTTTGGTGTGTATGCAACATCATGCATGTCAGACTATATGAAGCTTAATATGGTCCTCCAAAGATACTGCTGGAGGTGACAACGAGAGTTAATATACAGTCAAAAATTTGCCGTATAGATGTGAGATGAAGGTTTCTTCAGAGCTACATCCAGTCCATCAATGCATTTCAATGAATTTAAGGTAGTGGAGTAGGAACGATTCTTACTTTTGTAAACCTCTTAAGTAGCTCAATTGTACAATGCGGTTGGCTCGATTGGCCTTTTTCTGTGCTGTAGACCTCAATGCCACAAGACCATTATAGAATAACTTCTAAAACAATTTGATTGGCAGAAAATTGTGTTAGCTTCATAGTACAAACTAATGAGAAAAAAGGATGCAATTTAGGATAATATTAAGATATATAAACCTCACAGAGACTTGCAGGACATGTTGTAATTTTCCTGAATTTACCTATATTAGGCAGATAGAAGGAAAGTATTTTTTAAAACTCAGGCGTTGTCAGGAAAATTCAGACAGCCAATAAATGCAGGATAATGGTCGAAATCTTGAAATTTTGCCACAACAAAATATAGGGTTGCTAGAAAAAGATATGTGTAGACGTGTGCTTAAGGCATTAATTTTGTAATAGCTCACACTAAATTTAATAACATGCTTCTGGTTTTAACTTTATTGGAAATGTAATTTCAATTATTGCCTTTCAGTCATTAATTACCAAAGGTATTTAATAGTTTCAAAATTATTTAATACTGTGGTGTATAGTTCAAGAAAGTATTTTTCCATATGTTCAGTACATTTTCAAATTAAAGTGTAATTCTAACCCTCAGAAGTTTTTATGTTCAAAAAAGACATTTTGAGGCAAGTATTCATGATCAAGACGTAAACTGAATTCTGTTTCTCAATTTATCCACAGGCTCAAGCTGCTACTTTGCAGAGAATGATCTTTACAAACAAGTTAGATCATGTGTAATGAATACCTATGCAGCTATGCAGGATGCTGCTGAATACACTATTTGACGAAGAATGAATAAATTGAACAATTATCAAAAAATTTATATACCATTAGATTAAAAAATGGTGAAAAAGTAGATATTGCCTTGGCTGAAAATTGATATACAGGTGTGACGCTGAAGATTTGTGTGTTTTGGTCTCATGTAATTTGTTCATGTTTAATTTTTTTTCAACAGTAGTAGTATCAGTTGCAGAATCTGTTATAACATTTCATCTAAAACTTTTTAGATATTCTTGTAGAATATACATTTGAAACTGCATTTGCACAATAAAAATAGTGTATTCATGTCTCTGGAACTGGAGTCAAAATCAAAGGATTTTGTTAAGCATTCTGTTCACCTTGAATTTTTGAGTGGATTCATGAAATGATTTGACCTATTATTATCATACAATTCTGATCATGTGGATTACTGTCAATATTGATTATAATTGTCATATTAATTATTGTATTGAGTTTAAGGCTGATTCTGAAGCAGGGAATAGGTAGGGATGCCTTCTGCACAAGTAGATGTATTATAATATTCATATAATTATAATTGTAGAGTTCTTCACCGAGCAAGCTATGTTTGCAAAATGAACATTTAGTTACCAAAAGTCAGAAATCTGCAGTAGATAGTTCACTTGGACCATAACTTTCTATTTATTCTTTCATGGCACGTGGTTTCACTGGCAAGGCCAGCATTAGTTGCCCATTTCCCTGTTATTTCAGAGGGAGTTTAAAGATGAAATTTATATTTCTGCACAAGATCCTGTTTTGATGGAGGATACAATCTTTGATATCATCGGCCTTTGCTATTAACTTAACCATAAAAACCTTACATCACAGCCAATTCCCTTTTGAAATTGGAAGGATGAATAGTATGAAAGCTGCCATGTTGTCCCTGACATGCGTGCACATACACACACACACACACACACACACACACACACACACACTTAAATACACTCAGAATCTAGATAATTACATGTATTTTGTATCTTTTCCAGGGAATTGCTTATACCATAAGGGTCATAAGGCTGCTCGTGCTATCAATCAATTCATGGGCACACATGGGCTTGATCTTAACTGTGACCGTGTAAGATGAGTGACACTGAGTTGACAGCCCATTTACATTCATCTGAATAATTACTTCCATTGAAGCTTAGGAAAGTAAAAATCAGGAGAAATGTAAAACAGGTTGCCAACCTCCTATCAGCCATTTTACACTATCAAAGAAGGGCAAGATTTACTTTTTGGAATTTTTATTTCAGAATTTACTAAGCTTCTATATAAACATACAAGTATATAGACTATAGAAAGAGTATCTTCTGGTTATACTTTCATTCTAAACCTATTTTAGTTTTATGGCTGTACTTTCATTCTATGTCTGATTTTCTAACTAACTCATTAAACAAAGTTGTATTCCTTGTTTTTTTTCTTTTCTATCCAGAAGTGTTCTTACACATAACTTTTTTTTCTCCCATTGCCAAATCACCCAAGGTATTTTTCATCTATTAGCCACCAGTGTTTTCCTACTGATTAATTAACATGCAGAGTCTGTTAAGGGCAATGCAGACCATCAAAGATCAGGGAGAATATTCCCTGCTTTTTGTAAGTAGGGAAAATAGGGACAATTTTGTATGAGTTCAATAAGAAAGTTTATATCAGCGTCAGTAATATTCTAGCATCAATGTATTAACAGGCCACATAACTGCAGATGAAAATACCTCGCGAAAAAGCCATTTGAATTGTGCTGTGTGGGAGTGATGAGGAATGAATACAAACTTGGGAATTTGATGCAGATGAGATATTTCTGGTAATTTTTTCTGGTAATTTAGCTTAACATTCAAGCTCTGACATAGACCTTTACATCAGCAAACTAGTAAACAAAAAAACCCAGCTTAAAAGGATTTGCAATGGCAGTTCAATTAGTTGGAAGTGGTTGTGTGAATAGGCGTTTTTGTAACAGAAAACTGACTTTGCAGTTTCCACTTGGGTGGGAGTCACTGACGCAGGTAAGTGGAGATGATGTGGAACAAGTGCTAACTTGGAATTTGGTGCAGTTGGAAACTTGATGCAAAAGGGAGGGTCATGCTGTTTTTCACACATTTTTCAGCCTCCAGTTTCAGCTGGCTAGGCAGTAATTTAATGGCCGGGTAGGTGATTGTTGGTAAACTTCAAGATTTTATACTTTTAAGTGGTGTTAGGGAGATATATGTATTGCATAAAATTCATAGCTTAACTAATTCAACTTAATACAGTTACGTATAGCAGTGAGTAATATTTCTAAACTTGTAACCTAATTAAATGAAACACAATAATGATGGCAGAGCAGGTGATGTGCTGCAGCATGTAGGACACCAGTGTAATCTGTGGTAAGTGCATCTGCAGCAAGTGTTGTTAGCTTGAGGAACTTCACCTCAGATTGGATGAGCTGGATGTTATACACTAGAAGAAAAATGGTTCTGAACAGAATCCAAACCCATACTTCTGATGAAAGCTTTAATTCAGCTAACCACACTCAATAAAACTCAGACCCCACTGATTAGTAACTCCCATATTTATAACAACCTATTCAAACCCAATTAATCCTTCCTTAATATATCCATCGCCAATCCCTTCATTCTATTAGAATTCACATTCCTCCAGGCTGTATTAAATGAGAACACTGGCGTCTGAGCTTTAGACACAGATTAATCAGGGAGGGGAAAAGTTACTGTAGTTCTATCCTTTAAACAAGGTGCTTCTGATTTGGTTGATGCTCAGGAACAAGAAGATGTGATTGTAAGTCAGGTACAAATGGAAACCCAGAAGATAGCAGTGGAGCAGTCTGAGCCCCTTCATTGTCTAAGAAGGATTTGTGGTTCATGCAACTTGTGTGAATGAGAGCAACACTGTAGGATGATGAGAAAACTGACGATAGAAGCACAGTGCCGGACTCCATACAAGTGGGAGGAGTGAAAAGGAATGAGACTGTGGTTGGGAACTTTACTGTTAGGGGGTTAGATACTATTCTCGGCAGCCAAGAGCATGAGTCCTGAAGGCTGCATTGCCTGGCCAGTGTCAGGACAGCAAGCACTTAGCACCAACTTATGTTATGTTAAAGATGCTATATAAAGATAATAAAACATTCCAAGGCACTTCACAGGACTATTAAAACAACAAAGTATGGCACCAAGCTAATGACTTTTCTGAATCATTAAGTTTGTGAGCTCAAGTTCTGTTTAGAATTTGGGTACATCATTTATTATAGAGTCATACAACACGAAAACAGTCCAATCAGTCCATGCCAACCATAATCCCAAACTAAACTAGTCCCACCTGCCTATGTTTGGCTCATATCCCTCCAAACATTTCTTATTCATTAAATTATCTAAATGTCTTTTAAATGTAACTGTACCCTCATCCAGCACTTCCTCTGGAAGTTATTTCCATAAATGAACCACTCTCTGTGTAAAAAAAAGATTGCCCGTCATTTTTTAAAATCTTTCTTCTCTCACCTTAAAAATATGTCCCCTAATCTTTATATCCCCCACTCGAGAGAAAAGTCACCTGCCATTCACCCTATCTACATCTCAACCTCCTAGGTTCCAGTGAAAAAACTCTTCATGTAATGCTGAGGGATTGCTTCAATGTCTGTTACTGCACCTGTCAAAAGAGACATTAAGCTGATGCCCTGTCTGCCTGTTTATGTGGACTTTTAAAAATCGCATTGCATTTTTTCAAAAAAAACGAAGCATAGCTTTCAACTCTAAACAAAAAAAAAGCTTTTAAACTATATCATTATAACAGACTGGGGCTAAACTGGACTACCACCAAAAATAACAGAACTTTCAATTTTGAATGTGTTTCTGAAAGGAGTGATAAATTTTGACCCTGGAAAGACTGTATAATGGTACAACATGCGAGAGAACACGCTCCAAAGTTCTTGGACAGTACTATATCGGAGCCCTTGGTGATGGGGTTAGAAGGAAGAGAAGTACAATATCCAGAGGGAGCCAAGAGGCTTTCCAGATAATTGCACATGAGGAAATTGAATCAGAGGCATATAAGTCAATGCCATGAGTCATATTTTGAAGTCCTGGATGCAGTGCTACAAGAAGTTCAATGACCTGACCTGAAGGTCCATAGTCAATGAATTCATCTTCAATGCCATATCTTGTCAACTACAATAATAGCCCCAAAGACCATTCAATGTGTCAAATCCCCATAACTTACCTACAAGCAATCTTTGTTTTGGCAAGATGCTTGATCAACATTCATAGCTGCACTTTCCCACACCTTAATACTGAAGGCCTCACAACCACATCTCCCAGGTTAAACACATTGCCAGCTATTCAACTGTGACTATCACAATACCAAACAGATTGTATTACCTTATTATAATGGAGGACAATGGTTGCCATCAATGGGGTAACCATCACTGAGGCTGTCAGCAGTAGGACTGAAACTATGGAGGATGAGGTATCCTTATCCATAATCCTTCTCATCACATCCCACTTCCTGTTATTCCATCATTTCTCCTGATTTATAAATTGCAAATAACATAACCCATGGACATCTTGATTCTCCTGCCCATACCACAGCTGTGTTTTGGTGCCTTTCTTCTTTCATGTTCCTGGGCATTATAGACCCATATGTTGCTCCAAATCATATTGCAAGGTCATCTACAGTTGGTCTTATTTAAAACTAGTAGCCTTCCAGCAGCTATGCTGCACTCACTCGTCTAACACTGGATAAAAAATGATAATGAGCAAAGGCACTTGGAAGACATGCACTCAGAATGCACTAACACACATGAAGTTTCTGTGTAATAAGGCATTATTTGATTTACAAATTTGGTTTGAATTATTTTTGTACTGCCCTTTTTTTCGCAATGTGGCAAAGTGAGTGCTATCTGTATCTGCTATAATCCAATGCATGCTGAGCTTGGTTCCTAGCACGTTAGAGAATGTAGGAATGTAAATGTGAAGTAAGGAATGTTCTCCAGTGCAGAGGTGGAAGTGAAAGTGACAGCAGATGTCAAAATCAGGTTCTTGCTTCCTCCGCATTTTATTTGCTGAAAACCCATTACATGTCTAACCTTTCACAGGTTAGTGAAAAGTCATAGATCGAAAACAACTTCCGTTTCTCTCTACAGCTTCTGTAAGACCTGCTGAGAATCGGCAGCATTTTCTGTTTTTATTTCAGTTTTCCAGCATCTG